GTAAGAGCCTTTTTGTGTTCTATCATCTTGTTTTTCGTTGTTCACTAATTCATATGCCTGATTACTTGCCTCTTAGTTCACATTCACCAGAACACGGTACCATGAAACGGTGAAGCACTGGCATTGGCAAAATAAGGTGAAGACAAAACCCGTATGTTTGAAAGTGCTTGAGAGCAACGTTTGGCTGATAAATGACCCGTACCAGTGTAAAATCAGGAACCATGAGAGGCTAAAAACAAAGTTTTTTAAAACGGCTCTTTCATTCTGAGCTATCAACAAAACATTATTTCACATGAAGATCCATTCGTCTTATGATCATAATAGCACATTTCAAACTGATGGTAGAAAAATAATTTTTACATTTTTTTTAAATTAAATTAGAAACTTCAAAATGTCCTGCTGTAGTTCAGGAACTAATCAAAGTGTGTTTCCAGCACTGAAACCAATGAGCTGATTGTAAAAAATAAGTAGTTGTCTTGCTGGTCTTTTGCAGGTGATCACTCGAGGTCTGTGGCTGTGTGGTGTTGTGTCGGCTGCAGGAGGGATGTATGTCTTGGTCAGATACTCTCACAAACTCCCCAGCATCTCTGCAGAGCACCTGTGGACCCGTATACTTGCCTTCTGAACTGTGCACAGGACATGCTATGTTGTTGTTTTAGTAGCCTTATCATGCTATTGCCTTGTCAAAGGACGAACTACCAAAGATGTTTCATGGCTCTGTACTATACCAAAACTGAAGTCTTGTTCAATACAAGTTAAGCTCTGCATTTTGTGGCATGGTGTTGATTAGCACAAAAAAAAAAAAAAAATTGCATTCAAGGTGACATTTTACCAGCTCATGCATTCAAGCACCATGCTCTACTACACTGAAAAAAATGTTTAATTCATCCAATTAAAAAAAATTAGGGTAATGATTCACATCTATATTTTTTAACTTGAGCCAATTAAAAATAAATAACTTGCCCTAATTGGATGAATGAAAATTTTTTTTCAGTGTACTTGAGTTACAGGAATGACAACTTGTTTGAATTATTCTGTAAAAACATTTAGTATTTGAGTTCTAAAAGTTGTCTAAATTGTCTTTCTTTTCTTTTTTTAAGTGGGAATACTTCTCGAAGTATTTTGAAACATTTATACAATTTAACGTTTATTTGCTGGTTCTGTGTACTTCCATTTTGAGTGGAGATTATTCTGTATTTTGTGTGATAATCAAATGTCTCATGCTCTTTATCTTGTGTTGAATCCAGAACATTATCTTGAGCTTCAAATTTTTGTAGAAAGGGAGAAAGAAAGAAAGGATATATAATATAATTAAGTATATATAAGTACAATTCTGTTTAAGTTATAATTCAGGTATGCTTTTACTTTATATATACAGCACATATGTGTGGGTGTTGTGATCTCGAAGCACATACAGATTTATATAATTTCTTTGTTTTTAATTATTTTAAAAAGTCATGCTGATCACTGTCTGTTCTTGGAGTTAAATGTGACTGAATAAAACCATTTGTTCATTGAGTCATGCATGAACTTTTCTGCTTCATGGGTCTGTTCCAATCTTCTTTAGTGTTCTCTGCTTTATCTTAGCTATTAGTTTTATTTAGTTTCCCTTTATGTTGTCTTTATTATTTGCTTGTAGCCTTTACTTTTACTAGTTATTTCCTAGCTATAGTTTTCTCTGTTTTGTTTTTTATTTACCTATACTCTAGTAGTTTTTCTAGTTATTGCTTAGCATTTGTTATCACCATCCATCTTGTGTTGTGTCTCTTGTATGTTTTTGTCCTGTAGGCTGAGCTTCAGTTATCAGTCATTCAATTGCCATTTTCGAACATAAGTCAGAATGTCTTTTTTTTGTTGTATTTACATTTACATTTAGACATTTAGCAGACGCTTTTTATCCAAAGCGACTTACAAATGAGGACAATGGAAGCAATCAAAATCAACAAAAGAGCAATGATATGCAAGTGCTATAACAAGTCTCAGCTTAATGCAGTATTAATTAATATTCATTAATGTTAATCTTACTAACTTAATGTTAGTAAGTTTATTAAGTTAGCTTAATGTATTAAACACTTTCATGAAATTATAAACTATTTTTTTAAACCACCAAAGATGCAAAGACTGGTATTCAGCTTATGTTTTTGGTCATTATCCATTATCTGAATTTTATATTTAAAAAAATTGAGGTATCAGGGAATTAAAAAAAAAATAAAAAATTCTCTCAGACATGGAAAAATTTAATGGCAAGCGGTCGGAGTCACATTTACCGTTTTGGCGAATTTTCGCGGACGAAATCCAGTCATATCAATTTTAATCCACGCAATCAAGAATTTAGAAACAAAAAGCCAACAGAAAGCTATTTTGTGAGCTTGTGAGGCGTTTATACTATAACTATACATTTATATGATATACTAACTATACATTTATATCATATTTGAGACTAACCAGACAGACCAGGCTTAAAGGGGTCATATGATGCGATTTCAATTTTTCCTTTCTCTTTGGAGTGTTACAAGCTCTTGGTGCATAAGGAAGATCTGTAAAGTTGCAAAGACTAAAGTCTCAAATCCAAAGAGATATTCTTTATAAAAGTTAAGAGTCAGC